CTACCCTATGATCGTCGTCTCGATCTGACCATCCTACTATGTCGGTTACGTCTTCAGGCGTGACCCACGAAAATGAGGACATCCCCTTAATGAATGGCCGATGCTCATGTGAGTGGCGATGATCATTGCTGTCAGCATCTCGAGTCACCTCAGGAGTCACGATTCTGGTACCGGCTATATATCCAAATTGAATCCATTTTGGAAGATAGCCAAAGTACAAGAAGGGGACTTTGCTAAGCAGCTTGATTGCGGTGTGCGAGCATTCGATCTGCGTTTCTTATGCAGCACAGCAGGGCTGTATATGCATCATGGCATTCTACCCATTATTCACAGCTTCACTGATGCTTTGAAGGAAGTCAAAACATGGGCTAGTGCACATCCACAAGAGTTGATATTGCTTATAAACAGCCACTATTCTCCCAATGATGATCATTGTAGAGCGAAGGTATGGCAGGCCATGGCCAGTCTTGGTCTTATGACTCCTATTGGATCGGACGGCTCATGTGATAAGTTGCAAGGTCTCTCAGTCAGACAAGCTAAGGCCAAGTCTAAACTTGAAGAAGGTAACCCATCTCGCTCAGAGCACGTGATTTTCTGATTGTACATCAGGTGGAAACATCTTCGTTGTCGAAGGTGAAGGTAAGTGCCTCGACACAAACTGGAACCCTAAGCTGACATGCTATCGCCAGAATGGAGACTGCCGTAGAGGCTCACCTGGTAGCGACGTGATCAACAAGGAGATGCTCAGCTACATCAATGAAACTGCCTCTCACAAACCGACGTCTAACCATCTGGCTACGATCCAGGCACTTTGGCAGTATGATGTCGACTCTGTAGGAAGGATGCTCGCTGACGGGTCGAATATCCTCAAGGATTCGCAACTCAGCGGCCTCCACGAGGAACTCGTTGATGTTATCCCACAGCTGAAGTATGTTAATCTCCTTGAAGTCGACGATGCCTGCTTTGGCGGGCCGGAGTTGTTAGAAGCATTGCGGACACGCAGAAGTCGGTA